ATAGTTTTAAGAGTACATATTAATGATGCTAAGACAGTTTGTATATGTTCAGAGACAAAAAAGATATAAAAAGAGCTTAATTTCTCAATTTTGGAATGACCTTGACCTTTGACCTTAACATGAATTTTAAGCTCAAAGCTCAATGAATCTTATGCAGTTGGTCCCATGTCTCTATCACTTCTCGTTTTAAAAAATTTTAATTATTTGTAATATTCAAAACGTTTCAGGGGCAATAACTCATTGAAGGGGTCACCGAATGCTTTCGCAATGAATAGATTGAAGAGTCTCCATAATTAGGCAAAGCCATTGGTGAAGGTTTCATACCTTTACGGTTTACGGTTTTAGAGGAGTAGCGATAACAAGGGTTTTTAGCACAAGGGGCAACAACTTTTAAAAGGCTCAATCTTAGGGGCCAAGATTTATATCTTCTAAAGAGTTTCAAAAGTACATATTAAAGACATAAGATAGATCGCATATGTTTAAGGACATAAGAGCTATTAAGAGAAATTTATTTCTCATAATTGGAATGACCTTGACCTTTGACCTTGAAATGAATTTGAAGGGAAAAGGTCATTGAATGTTATGCAGTTGGTTTCATGTCTCTAAGACTTTTCGTTTTGAAAATTTTTAATTTTTAGTAAAATTTATAAACTTTCAGGGGCAGTTACTCATTGAAGGGGTCAAAGAAAACTTTCGCAATGAATAGATTGAAAAGTCTCCTTAATTAGTTGAAGACAATGGTGAAGGTTTTATATCTCTACGGTTTACGGTTTCGGAGGAGTAGCGATAACAAGCTTTTCGGTGAAAGGGGCAATAACTGCATAAGGGATCTAAGTTAAAACATGGGGGGTCATTTTTCGGAATAACTTTGAATATCCAGTATCATGAACTATAAAGTTTTTCGATAAGTCTTACGGTGTCAAAACATAAGGTAAGAAATAAAATAAACTAGGAGACTTATTGTTCAAAGAACAATAAGAGGTCTTTCCACCTTCTGAATTTCAATTTCATTTATAATTTATCTCTTTAAGATTAAATTTCATAAAAAAGAAACCAGGAATGGCTTAAAAGAAGAAAAAAATAAAAATTTTAAATTTTTCAGGTGACCTTGACCTTTGACCTTCAAATCATATTCAAGGTCAAAGGTCAAGGGTCACATTTTAATTAACCTCATGTCTCTATGACTTATAGTTTTCAAGTTATAAGGTTGAATAGTAAGCACAAAAGCATTAAAGGGCAGTAACTCATTCAAGGAGTCACCAGATCCTATTGCGCTTGAACATAAAAGTTTTGCCTAAAATCCCATCAGACATTAGAGAAGTTTTCATGTCTTTTCGGTTTACGGTTTTGGAGCAATAGTAAATAAAATGTTTTTTGCACAAGGGGCAATAACTTTTAATAGGGTCAATCTTAAGGGACAAGAATGAAATCTTTGAAACAGTTTTAAGAGTACATATTAATGATGCATAGACATTAAGCATATGTTGAAAGACAAAAGAGATATAAAAAGAACTAAATTTCTCAGTTTTGGAATGACCTTGACCTTTGACCTTTACATGAATTTTAAGCTCAAAGGTCAATGAATCTTATGCAGTTGGGCGCATGTCTCTACACCTTCTCGTTTTGAAAATTTTTAATTATATGTAAAATTCAAAAAGTTTCAGGGGCAATAACTCATTGAAGGGGTCACCGAAGACTTTCACAATGAATAGATTCCAGAGTCTTCTCAATTAGTCAAAGACTTTAGTGAAGGTTTCATATTTCTACGGTTTATGGTTTCGAAGTAGTAGCAATAACAAGGTTTTTCGCACAAAGGGCAATAACTTTTAATGGGGTCAATCTTACGGAATACAAATTTTACCTTTTAAATAGTTTTAAGAGTGCATATTAATGATGCTAAGACAGTTTGTATATGCTAAGCTACAAAAAAGATATAAAAAGAGCTTAATTTCTCAATTTTGGAATGACCTTGACCTTTGACCTTTGCAATAATTTCATGACCAAAGGTCAATAAATCTTATGCAGTTGGTCCCATGTCTCTATCACTTCTCGTTTTGAAAATTTTTAGTTATTTGTAAAATTCAAAAAGTTTCAGGGGCAATAATTCATTGAAGGGGTCACCGAAGACTTTCGCAATGAATAGATTCCAGAGTGCTCTCAATTAGTCGAAGACTTTAGTGAAGGTTTCATATTTCTACGGTTTACGGTTTCGAAGGAGTAGCGATAACAAGGTTTTACATAAAAGGGGCAAGAACTCCGTAAGGGGTCATAGGTCATATACGTTGGGTTGTTTTTCGAAATAACTTTTGATATCCAATATCATGAACTAAAAAGTTTTTCGATAAGTCTTTCGGTTCAAAAGTCCATAGCGGAATAATAATAATAATAACTAGGAGACTTATTGTTCATAGAACAATAAGAGGTCTTTCCACCTTTTTAAATTTCTTATAGTTTTATATTTTACACTCTAAATTTAATTTTAAGGGAAATGGCTTGAAAAAAAAATGAAAATGTAAAAAAAAAAAAAATTTTGAAATGACCTTGACCTTTGACCTTGAAAAAATTTTCAAGGTCAAAGGTCAAGGGACACATTGCAATTAACCCCATGCTTCTACCATTTATAGTTTTCAAGATATAAGGTTTAATAGTAAGTATAAAGAAGTTAAAGGGCAATAACTCATATAAGGGGTCATGAGATCCTTTAGTACTTATACAATGAAGATGTGCCTAAAGACCCTTAAGATATTAGTGAAGGTTTCATGCCTCTACGGTCTACGGTTTTGAAAGTGGTAGTGATAACAGTGTTTTTCACATAAGGGGCAATAACTTTTGATAGAGTCTATCTTGGGGAACAAGAATGAAATCTTTGAAATAGTTTTAAGTGTACATATTAATGATGCAAAGACTGATTGCATATGTTAAAAGACAAAGGATATATAAAAAGAGCTTAATTTCTCATTTTTGCAATGACCTTGACCTTTGACCTTGACAAAATATTCCAGGTCAAAGGTCATGAGTCTCAATGCAGTTGGCCCCATGCTTCTACCATTTATAGTTTTCAAGATACAAGGTTTAATAGTAAGTATAAAGAAGTTAAAGGGCAATAACTCATACAAGGGGTCATCAGATTCTTTTGCACCTCTACAGTGAAGTTAGGTCTAAAGACCCTTAAGACATTAGTGAAGGTTTGGTGTCTCTACGGTCTAAAGTTTCAGAGGAGTAGCGATAACAAGGTTTTTCGCACAAGGGGCAATAACTTTTAAATTGGTTCATGTTAGGGGACAAGAATAAAATCTTTGAAACTGTTTTAAAAGTACATATTAATGATGCATAGACATTAAGTATATGTTAAAAGACAAAAGAGATATAAAAAGAGCTAAATTTCTCAGTTTTGGAATGACCTTGACCTTTGACCTTTCCATAAATTTCAAGACCAAAGGTCAATGAATCTTATGCATTTGGTCCCATGTCTCTACGTCTTCTCGTTTTGAAAATTTTTAATTATTTGTAAAATTCTAAAACTTCCAGGGGCAATAACTTATTGAAGGGGTCAATGAATACTTTCGCAATGAATCAATGAAGTGTCTACTAAATTAGTCGAAGACATTAGTGAAGGTTTCATTTCTCTACGGTTTATGGTTTCGGAGGAGTAGCGATAACAAGCTTTTTTGCGAAAGGGGTAATAACTCCGAAAGGGGTCGTAGTTTATATACGCAGGGTCAACTGCGAAAATCTTTTACGGAGTACATTCTTATGAATTGAAAATCTTTACGATAAATCTTGAAACTCAAAATCACACGGCGGAAAAATAATAAAAAATAATAAGAAAAAGGAAAAAAAGAAACAGAAGGAAATCAATAGGTCTTTCCACAGAAAGGTGGAAAGACCTAATAAACAGAAGCATTTCATGAGGTCTTTCCACAGAAAGGTGGAAAGACCTAAAAACAGAAGCATTTCAAGAGGTCTTTCCACAGAAAGGTGGAAAGACCTAATAATACCAATGTAAACATTATGTTACCAAACACATACATATATATATATATATATATATATATATATATATATATATATATATATATATATATATATATATATATATATATATATATATATATATATATATATATATATATAAACTCATTGAAAGTTGTATTGAAATATAATTCTACAGTCTACGATCCTCAAGTGCCTTTTTCGATAATATATTTTTAGATGAAATATAAAGATAATGACGAAAAAAAATCATGTCAAAAAGCTCAAATATTTAATTTATGTACAAAAAATTATGAAAGTAACTGGGGCTCGATAAACTTAGCATGCAGGTGATAATGTTAATGGTACATGTATACATGTATTGCATCACGAACAAGAGGTCCATGGGCCACATTGCTCACCTGAGCCCTTTGGCATGAAAAAAGCAAAAATCAATTCCGTATTGATAAGTTTAACTAAAAAAATGGTGATGGTGGTGGAGGGGAATGCAAATGATTTGAAAAAACCTGAATCTACATTTTACACTTCTTATAAGGATGCTTTTATATTATTAAGATCAGTCATTGCTTTGTTGTTCTTGTGAAGAGTTTTAAAGATTTTTTTTTTCAATATAAAAAGATTATCACCCATTGTACCCTCTAGGGGAGGCGGGGATGGTTTTAATATCTTTTAATCTACACTACCTGAAAATGCTTCCATATAAATATAAACAATCACGGCTTTGTCGTTCTTGAAAGGAAGATTTTAAAAGATTCCTTTGAAAAAACTTTGATCCACCATTATGGCCCATTCCTCCTCCCAGGAAATGGATTGATGAAATTCTGGTATAATTTAAGGAACAACATACAAAAAATATCAAACAAATCTATATATTTTGTATATCCAAACGTGTTTATGAAGAACTATACAATAACATAAATAGACATTAAATTATAGCACATAGTCCGTTTAAGTATTAGAATTAGAATTGGGAGAAGACAATTTTGTCCTTAAGTATGTCCTTAAAGCGTGGTTCCTGATAATTGGAGTGACGGTCTGTTTCCAGGTGCTGTCCATTCCTGGTGGGAACTGGTGTACAAGGCGGTGACAGGAGGACCGTTTGGGGCATACGAATTATTTACTTCTGACAACACTCGTAACATAAACAATCTTGCAGCCCAACAACTGACCAATCAGGTCCTAGACCACTATAAATCCGAGGTGTTTAATAACTGGCAAAGTAATGATATATATAAGGTACATTCCTGTGTAAACAAAAGATTTAATTAAGGACCCTCTCTACACCAGTGCAATTTTTTTTGGGACACTGAGAAAAATATTGTATAAAGGAGTTAATATTGAGCTAATGTATTAAATTTTCACAGTATGGTGCGTGGTATTTATCCCCGGGAAAACTGTTCAAAGACAACACAGTAGTACTGAAAAGAAATCACTGGTAATTACTTCAATAGAGAAAATGCATGTAAATAACATGTTCAGTTAATTTATCTTGGTCTTTTAAAATGTGAAGAATATTAAGACTGATTACAAATTGAGTAATATATTGTAAATTTCTATTTTTTAGAATTTAGATCTAAGGGCAGATTACTCTAACTGTAGAAAAATACCTTAGAATGAGAACTTTTTAGTATGCAGTGTAGAGAGGGTTCTTAAAGGAAATAAGCATAAAAAACTGCACATGTATCTTGTAAAGCAGAATTACATATCGTCACTTATTATGATTAATTAAAATAATTTATTTAAACAAAGAATTGAAGACAACATTTACCAAGCCTGTAGAAAAAAGGATTTATTAAGGATCTTTTTCAGATAAGAGTGTCCTACTACGCTGGGGGCACCGAGGCACAGTACTTTGTTTTTAACGCAACAGGGTCAACAAAGACGAACTGGTTTAGTCGCTATAGAGTATTAGAGTCTAGCTACGACATCTCGGCTTTTGCTGTAACAACTGGAAAAGGAGGAGAATATTTTAGTATAAAAGGGTAATAAACCATGCATAACCTTAATGTTTTTTGTTCTCCACTTTTTGACTTGCAGCTGTATTTATAAATTATCCTATTACAAAAGCTGTTATTGCTTGGCTGTATAGTTTTTAGCTCACCTGAGCTGAAAGCTCAAGTGAGCTTTTCTGATCACCCATTGTCCGTCGTCCGTCCGTTTGTCTGTCCGTCTGTTAACTTTTCACTTTTTCAACTTCTTCTCAAGAACCACTGGGCCGATTTTAATCAAACTTTGAACAAAGCATCCTTGGGTGAAGGGAATTTAAATTGTTAAAATAAAGGACCAAGTCCCCTTCCAAGGGGAGATAATCAAGAAAATACTAAAATAGGGTGTGGTCATTAAGAAATCTTATTCTTAAGAACCACAGGGCCAGAAAAACTGAAACTTATGTGGAAGGATTCTGGGAAGTGTAGATTCTAAATTGTAAAAATCATGACCCACAGGGGTAGGGAGGGGCCACAATATGGAATCCAAGTTTTACATAGAAAATATATAAGAAAAATCTTTATAAAAATCTTCTTCTCAAGAAACAGTGTTCCAGAAAAGCTGAAACTTATGTGGAAGGGTCCTGGGGTAGTGTAGATTCTAAATGGTAAAAATCAAGACCCCCAGGGGTAGGGCGGGGCCAGAATAGGGAATTCAAGTTTTACATAGAAACATATAGGAAACATCTTTAAAAATCTTCTTAGGAACCAGTGGGCCAGGAAAGCTGAAACTTATGTGGAAGGGTCCTGGGGATAGTGTAGATTCTAAATTGTTAAAATCATGACCCCTGGGGGTAGGGGAGCAATAGGGAGTCCTAGTTTTATATGAAAATATATTGGAAAAATCTTCTTATCAAGCAACAATGGGCCAGGAAAGCTGAAACTTAACGTGTAGGAATCCTGGGGTAGTGTAGATTCTAAATTATTAAAATCAAGATGGGGTTTGGAGGGGTTAGGGGTCCACAATAGATGTAAGAAGAGGGGAAATCTGGTAAAGAACTGCATCACCAAAGTTACTCAGGTAAGCGATGTGCCCCATGAGCCTCTTGTTTCCTTTTATGCCAATGTTTTTTTTTTATCATCTAAGGCGTAGACCATTTGTATGCATGCTTTTAAGAGTTCAGGAAACCTTGAATCACATGTTATACTGTAAATCACTTTTTATTCGCGAGAACTTTATTTTCGCGTAATTACGCGAGACTGTATGCTCGCGAACATTAAATTCTCGCGCATAATAGTATTCCGTAAGATTATATAGAGCAATAACCAGAATTCGTGAAAATTTTGTCTCGTTAATCAAGAGTCAATTGACTGCCGTCATGAGAAAAGGGCCCTTATCTTTTGACGTCACAATGCTCAGAAAACGACGTCAAAGTCGCGGTATTGTAAACACGGAAGTAATTTTTGTTGACCGCATTTTGTAAACAAAAAATAAAATTGATTTTCAAGTGTAACAAAAATTTGAAACTTTATGCGGACATTTTTTAAAAGGAATATGATATTATTACAATTTAGTACGTAAATTTATTGATAATCTTATTTAAGTATTTAATTTGATGTTGATATACGGGACATTGGACATGCACATTGCTAGCTCTGGAACAGCGATTTAAACGATGTCTATGCATGAAAAAATTAAAGATGCTGCATATTTGTTTTCTGAGCAATGTACAAATGCTTAAATTTGAATTCATGTTAAGAAGTCTAAATATTAAAAGGTATATTCTATACTTTTATATTTTTTTCGGAGAGAGAGAGAGAGGGAGAGAGAGAGAGAGAGACGAGCGAATGAGAGGTCTTTGCACATATAGTAATTACCGTTCTTATAAGCGCTATTTTTTTCCCCTGAAAATATATACCATAATTTAAAACGTAAAGAGTGTATTTAGCCATTTTAATTTTAATTCACAGTCAGTCATACTGATGTACCCCGATAGCCAGCCTTCGGTGAACTGTTAAGTAAAAAGGGAGGGGGGGGGTAAAAGACAAGCCCCCCAAAAAATCTTCAAATAAAAAGACCGTTTAAAGTTTAAGCTGAGAAACATAGTCCCTCTTTGATTGAATAAAGATACTGGTAACATGGGAGATCCAAACCTTCTACATCAATTAACAATAAATAATTTTTTTACTATATTAACAGTATTAGCATATGCTAAGGAAAAAATACGGATGATGGGGATGCCACCAAAATTTTAAAATAAATTTTGTTTCAAAAAACCAATTTAGAATGATCAAATAAATACATTCAAAGGAATTGTGTGGTAGAAATTACTATTGTTTCAAATTTCGGAAATTCTTCCAATGAAATGAATGAATGAATGAAAGCCCCTGGAAACTATATTGCAATATATATCTTATAAGAAATCAAATACAGCTATTTTAGACTTTTCCCAAAAGCATTATACCCAATGTCTGAAAGAGCAAAAAGTATGTGACAAATTGTTATAGGTTAATTTCCAAAAGTTATAAAATGTTCCTAATCTTTAAAAACTTTGATGAGCGTGAAATATATATATCATTGCCTATTGAATTCATGATATGAAATAAATAAGTCACATTTTGCGTTGAAATCTTCAACTCTGATTCATGTATCAAAATACGCCGCATATCTCGACATTAATTTCTTAAAGTTCCGTTGAAAACCAGATAAGACTTTATATAATAATCCTAACTTGACTCTACGGAAAGTAATAAATAAACAAAGACATGGTTTTTTTCATTTAAAGAAATTATTGGTCATTACAGTCGCGCGCAAGTAGCAACGGGGGTAGGGGGTAGGGATTTACATTGAAAGTTCCGTCCCCCACATGCAACCACACACACACACATACACACATTTTGTTGCAGTATAGTCAAATTCATGCACTATAGGGCAAAAGAATAATGCAATGTATTATAATACTGAAAGAAGACTGAACCTACCCTCCCCCTCCCCAACAGCGAAATATGATTCGAGTTTCGATATCCCCCTTTTGTTGGTTGATTTTTTTAAGGTAAATTTTTTTTTTTTCTGTTAACCCTCCCCCTCTTTTTCAAACGAGTTGTGCGGGGACAGGCGACGGTACGAGTCAAATGTTTTTTTTTTTTTTTTTTTTTTTTTTGGATATGTTTGGTTTGTTCTGAAGTAATGACTTGGGAAAATTCGTTTGCCTAAATATTTTCAGCCGAAAGAGAGTCAAATTAGAGCGGTATATTATTGCTTAATTAACAGCACCGCCTCATACAAAAAGCATAAACGTATGTTGGACGTACATGTACTTGTTCATTATCGGATAAGACAATCGCATCGAAATATGAAAGGTTTATAAGGTATCAAGTTGATAAGCCATTGTCACGGAGGAAAATGAATAAAATGACCGTTCGTGGCCGTAAAAAATTTGTTTTGCTTGTCAAAGAAAATTTGGTGGTTGAAAGTTCCCACGACTGAATAAAAAAATACCCCCCCCCCAGACCTGTTTACCTATATCGTTGTCTCTCAGTATTTTTTATTAGATTTGTCCGTGAGATTTGGCATTAACCAGTAAGATTTTATTTTCCATCCATTTTACATATATAAATAGCGAATAACTGCTTTTCTGATTACAAAAACATGGTTTAACAACATGGTCTTTGTCATTTTATAATACCACAGCGTTTTGGCAACCTGACATTGCTTTTGTGTTTGAAATCTCTCTCTTTTACAACGATAAAAAGCATAAAACTAAGATGGATGATAACGAAATCTAACTGTTAAATTCCGAACAAACGCTTTTTCCGATTTCCGTATTTTCATAATGGCAAAACGTGAGACGTATGTCAGAATAAAAATCCGTACAAAATACGGCAAAATCGTAAGAGTAAACAGGTCTGCCCCCCCCCCCCCCCCCCCCCCCCAACTGAAATGGCTTCCTAAGGGCCTGCCGTTCTTGCATAAAAATGCAGTGTACCTTCAGATATCCGAACTCCAGATATCTGGATGCTTTAGTATCCGGACAATGTTTCATCGGAACGAAAATTTTTAACGTTATTTTGTCTTGTTTAACTGATAATTCCGATATCCGGACGCTTCACATATCCGGACAAATTGACTAGGAACCAAAGCGTCCGTATAAATGAGGCTCCACTACCAGTATTCATTCAGTTTCAGTTTCAAATAGATTTCGTCAAAATTTTAATGGAACTGTTATTTCCCACAGAAAAGTCAAGCACCTTTTAGTGTACATAAAACTACATTTAATAAAAAGAGACAAGAACAACACAATTCCTATCTCTCTGATTAAATTATACAATATTATACATACATAAATATTTTTTGAGATCATAGTAGCGGTCCTTGTAAGAAATATACAAATATTGTGTTCAAGTGAAACAGGGTACAAGTGCCACAAAATAACAAAAGGGCCGTTAATGTGTGGAAATATTTGTAACCTATTTTAATTGTGATTTACTTTTTTAAAAAAATTTAGAAACTAAAAGGCGGTGTCAATTTGATGTATAAATTCAAAGAAAGTTTCAATTTAAGGTACGGAATATAAATAATTCATTTGTCCTTTATTTGCCTATTTACTACGTTTCTACTCCATTACTAAGACAGGCGACGAAAATGAATTGTATAAACAATGGAAACCTAGAGCTTTAAACATTTTAATAAAATGTTCAAAAACGTAAAATTTTTAAAATCCGCTTGCATGGAAGAAGGGAACGTACGTATATTTTTTTCATGTATGTTTATAAAAGGAATAAACGTTTTTAAAAACAAGTTTGCATATCTTAGCGTATCTGATCTTATTTCTCAATTGAATTTTTCCGTGATACAGAAAATACATGGTTTTTTTTTTTTTTTTTTTTTTTTTTTTTTATCGTAACAGTTATTTTATAGGGAATAAAGTTACGTGCGTGTGTGTTGGTGAGTGAATGCTGTCTCATAAGATTTTTTTTTAATATCGTGATCGATGTGCTTTTTTGCGAGGGGGGGGGGGGGCGGTTTTGCGCGCGGCGTCTTTCTGCGTCGGATTTTCTCTCTATATATATACATTGTATATATATAATTATATAA